AATAAATACAAATTAACTTGTTTACTTTTCTTTTTATTGCACTAATACGTACATTATACATCATAAGTAAGTACCAATAAGGATGTAAAGTACGTTTAAAATATATACTCTATTGGAATAAGTACAAACATAGTACGTACATTAAGTACGTACACAGTACGTACATGAGGTACGTACAGAGTACGTACATTATGTACGTACAGAGTACGTACATTAGGTACGTACAGAGTACGTACTTTAAGTACGTACTAGGTACGTACCGTCGTTTGGAAAATGTACGTATTATGTACGTACTATGTACGTACTTCGTACAGTAAAGTACGTACATGGTACGTACTTTACGTCCCATCAGTACGTACATAGTACGTCTTATGTACGTAAGTGTGTTTGCTGGGTTAAGACGGTTTTCCACTAAACGGACAATTGAGTTTGTGTTTTGTTTGTGTTTTATGGAACTTGAAAAACAAAAACATATCTGAAATAATCCCAAAATCCTTGTTTCCATCAGGCGGGCTACATTTGGTTCCAGTCCTTTTCCACTACTTGTCGCGAGGAAGTCAGAACACATTTTTTTAATAACCAATCAACATATTTAGAGAAGAAGATTTTTTTTATTCTAAGTTGTGGCCGATTTATACTGCGGTCCTTGTAAAAAAAATGAATAATTGTCTTTTTTGAATCACCTTATATGTATATCTGTATGTCAGAGCCTGAACGTCTATTTTTTTTGTGTCATCGGCATCAACTGCTACGGTTATTAGCCTCGTGTTCTATGTAGGCTTTGTTACTGTTTCCCAGCGCCACTTTAGGAACAGCACTGTTAATTAGTACCCAATAGATTTTAAATTTGATACTTTGCTACACAAGCTAGTGTCTTTATTTTTTAAGATAGGTCAAAACTGAAAAAACATATAAAAGTAGTTTAAAAGATGTATGTGATATCATAAAAACCTAAAAAGAACAATATTTTGACTTAACTTTCTCTGGCTCTGATGCACAGATGACTGTCTCCAGTAAACAGCCTTGAGTTTCAAAACACGTCAAAACCTTTTGATGTTACCCCTTCCGATTGGGACTCGAGAAACAAAACTTCAACTGTCGCAAAACACGCCTGTCTTCAAATAGTTTGCGAAAAGTTGCAGTTTTGTTTTTTCGACACGAGTTTGTGTTTTGTTTTTGTTTTATCCGTTTAGTGGAAAACCGCCATTATACCCAACGACGAACAACTACCTACTAGACTAATCTTCAGTGGCGACTTGTGTAATAGGGTGGTCTGAGTATAAGGGCACAACAAAATCAATACCAATCATTTAAACCTAAGCGGCTGAATACGAGGCTTTTTAATTGCGTTACTTTCATGATAAATAATTATTACGAAGATAAATAAACAACACCACAATAGATCAACATAGCAAAATAAACCACAAGTGACTAGTACTACGCCAATACAATAATTATAGCGCGCATTTATTATGATAGAAAAACACCGTATTATTATTATTCGTATTGTGCAGGTCCGGCTCGTCCGTAGTTAATTAAATTGTTCGCTCATAAACTTTATTATTGCATTTATTTGTGTTTGACTCTTTTATTGTTAATAAATCTAGGAGGAGTTAAATAAAATTATTGATTAAGTATATGGAAATACTAATTTGCAGATGACTCCTGCTACTTCGCAGAGAGGGCGGCGTCCCAGCGCCCTCCCTAACCAGCCACTAACAACAGGCAGTTTTTCTTGGAACGAATATCAATTCAGTTTAAAAAATTGTAGTTTTTGAAAAATGTTAACAAGGGGATAGAGCTGGATAACTTAAGGCATGTATTTATGAATGAGACGTAGGTATATAGCAAGGAAAGTGACAGCAAAAGTTGACAAGATGGAACGATAGTTGCTGCAAGTAAAAAAACCGCTGGAATGGAATTTGATACATTATTGTCCATGGTGGCAATGAAGAAGGGTTTATAAAAAATACAGATTTCATATTTAAAAGTCAAACAAAAAGCGGGGATCACACCCTTCTCTGATTATAATCGATAATTGCCAGTTATCATTCTTGGTACGTGAAACCAATTCCATGTTATAGTTGGACAAAAGATAAAATGGTAAAATGGTTGCAGGAAAAGAACATTAATTATCTAATCAATGGTATGAAATATCAGATTTGGGAAGTTGTACGTCAAAATCTACCACGAAAAGAATTCCACCTACATAGATATGTTGAGGAATATCGGCATACAATATTAAGAACTCCTTCATATCACTGCCAGTACAATGCGATAGAGATGGCGTGGTCATAGTGCAAACGATTTTATGACGAAAAAATTTTAACAACAAAGTCGTCACCGGAAGATGTATTTTAGACTGGTCAGAAGCTTTGAATAATGTTACCAATACTCAGTAGGACAATTATGCAAGACACATTAAAAACATAACATAACAATTAGATGTTCCTGTTCTAGAACCAATTATTATTAATTTAGGTACAACGGCAAATAGTGATATTGATTAAAAAATTTTATATGAGTTATCCAATAAACATTGTCTGTGCCTTTTGTTATAATATATTTTTTTACAAAGAATCTGTTACAACAGGTGCATAACCTGTTTTGGATTATCCTTAAAAACTCTAAACACGCTAAAAATCAATGTTTAGATGGGAAATTTATTTATAAAGAACGAAAGTAAATTGTTCTGGTATTTAATTTTTTTAAAGTGATTTCTTGTATTCGTGTAAACGCATTTTAATAAATTTTACGCTGCTAAGCAACAACAAAGCGCAACTGAAATAGGAAGACACGTGCAAACTAACTAAAGATGCGATTCTCTTTTTTATTCTGTCACTTTATATTTGCATTCTAAATCTAAATGCCAGTTATTATCAGTTATAACCATGGCGCTGCCAAACGAGGACAAGGGGAAGGCGTCTGCCCCCCCCCCTGGATTTGTGATTTTGGATTTTTCGCCATGGCTTTCAACTATAGCTTGCGGCGTTTTGATCGTGCCTATAACACTTGCCCCTCCAAAAAGTTTTTGAACGGCGCCCTATCATAGTTGAAGTCGATTTCCAGGTAAGTACGTAATTTATTTAAGTGTGACAGCAGTGTAAAGCACGCGTAGTAGCCATAATAATGGATTAATTCCCAATACGTGTTTTTGCACCTCAAATACATAAACTCGCGCAAATCATCCCCACTCAAATTGACAGCTATCTCGCTCTGTTTAATGCGGCAGCCGATGTGACAGCTCTGTCTGCCTGATACAAAACAGTCTAAATGCTTGCAATAAATAAGGGTTTATTATGAGCGAATGAATTAGTCTAGTAGTTTTTCCGTCGTAGGCTATATCCATTTTAAGTTTCCTAGATGCGGGAAAGTAGGACAACCTAGGTACCTTCAAATTACATTTTAAGGAGAAATACCATGTGTGACAACGGTTGTCCACTATTGGATATTTTTAATGTATATCTATTTATTATTAGGTATAGCTAAATTAGATGAAATAAGTTGACTGGTTTATTGTTTTTTAGAACTATAGTTTCAGTGCCCGTGATGTAAAAAATATGTATAAAGAAACATTTCCACGGACAGAGGCATTATTTTTCTCATGCTAAGCGTTAAGAGGTTAAAATAAAAAGATTCTGAAATACATACAAACATTTAATTCGTTTTTGTAATTAAATTATACAGGATGTCTCAATAAAAATGTATTTTTAAAAATTGTTTTTAACAACTTTTAAAATTTATATACCGTTAAATACAAACAATGATTGTGAGTTACAATGTTTATAATTTATTATTAGCTTAAACAAATTGATTTTAATCAGTGTTTCTAAAATGCGATGCATTTTTTATGGAGCTAATTTTAAACATTATCTGTTTTTATTTGAGTTTTTATTTATCGTAAGTGAAAATAATGATTTTAAAGTTGAAATAAATGTGGATCTTTCACGAATAATAGGATGGAGAGAATGTCTGTTGCAAATGGGTTAAACCCGATGCCAGTCCACCACTGCACACACACAATAGGATTTTTGCACGAGTTATAAAGAACTTCAAAATGAAATTCGTTTCTGAATTTGATATTAGGATCAAAACAGTAAAGGATCCAAATACATATTTTTACATGGACAGTAATAAAGGGCAAATGGCTCAAATATGTTTACAGTGATAGAGTTAATGCTTAAAAATTATTACATGAAGTGGTAAAGGGGGCAAATATTATTACACGGGCAGGGGTAAAGGGATCAAATATTTTCAAATGAGCAGACTTAAGAAATAAAGGAACCAAATATTTTGACCTGGACAAACTTAAAGAGGCAGAATTCAAGGGCACTATATCTAGGAGGATATCAAATAGAAGAGGGAGATTTACCTAACTTGAAGCCACTTCAAATCCTATACTTCCTTGAGAAAATAGGATTGGAAGGGTCGTTATAGGCATTGAGACATTTCCTTGGTGCATTGGCGACAGAAGGGGGCACAATAGATCTTTTAGGTAGCAATGTATTAACACCCCATTCCCAACATAACATAAGAGGCAAACGACCTACGTATTTTTACATGGGCAGGCTTAAGGGGCAAAGGGGCAAATATTTTTACATAAATTGCTCAAACTATTTGTAAACCCTTTAACAAAAGGCGCCATGGAATATTCTTAAAACCCTAGGCTATCAACGTAACAAACTTCTATGTTGTATGAAAGTCAACGTCTCACTGTCTTCAGTTTAAAATCTTTTTTTTTGTGCTACGAGTTTGCCAGTGGAGTCTCAGTCTAGATAGAGCGAGAACCACAAATATAGCGTCTCTTAAATTTAATAAAAAATATTGATGTACCTATACATAAGTCAAGTAAAAAATATTTTGTAAATTAAAGCAAGGATTTACCGTCACAAAACTTTTTGTTGAGACATCCTTTACATCATTTCTGTCCTAATAAACAAACGACAACATTTGTTATTAGTTCTGTATCACAAAAGTTATTTGTAGTAATTTAGCAACACTTAGACACAACTTTCTGGCCCTGGAATGGAATCGGCTATAATATGGTCTCTCCTCGTTGTAAAGTTTGTGTACGTGCCGTCCCGGAGTCTCCTACTTAAACTGTCACCAGTTGACGTCGGTATCTGGAAAAACGAAAATTCGTTTATTAATAAATAATATATTCCATTCAGGATTTTTTTCATTAAAAATAATTTACTAGGATTCAATCTGACTAATATTTTGTGTTAAACTTTGTAATGTGGCTAACCCATTTAGCCAGGATCATCTTTAAAGTTTTAAAAAAGTAATTTATTTCACAATAATATACGTAAAAACCTAATTACAGACAGTAGTTTAATATACTATTAAAATATTTATTTTTCTCCGACTGACATTAAATGTCACTTTTAGAAGTAACATTTTTACTGCCTAAGATTAAAAATAATTTTTACTGCTTAGGTATTAAAAATTTACTTCCTCTCCTGTCTTGCTATGCATGAGCATCAGGCTAAAAAAGTTACTCTAATAAATTAACTACAAAGTTACTATAAATGTATAAGAATTGAAGGTGTATAGTTATAAAAAAAAAAAACGATAAGAATAAATATTCAAAATGCTTGAGTCATATCCGTTATAGTTAAAAGAGGTTTTTACTTTAGTTCCATTTTTTTAAACACCCTGCTAAACAAATAAATAACTATTTTTTGAAAATGGGCAGGAAAGAAATTGAAAACGAATCTGTTGTCAGAATTTGAAAATATTGAGCCCATTTTTGCTAAATAAACAAAGAACATATACATAACTACATATATACGTACTATGATTTTTTATAAAAAAAAAGAAAAATTAAGTGGATTAGGCAATAACTGTGTTTTAAAAGCTTTTTGTCATAAAGTATCAGATGAAATTGAGTAATTAGGTTATTTTTGTACTTAATCGAATATTCCTATACATGTGTGTTCGACCTAAATTTGTAAAATTTTATGTACCTACCAACATAATAATTCAGTAAAAACCTACGCGGTAGCAAATTTTAAAATATTTGTTGTATATCTCATTTTGCAGTAATATGATTTTATTCTGATACAGGGTACTCAGTTATGTTTTGATTTTTTACCATTTTCACATCTATACAACTTTGAAACTAGTTTAGATATCAAAAAGCGATTTACCAGTCTTATTCTAATTTATTATTATTTAAGTTTTTCATGTAAATCTGAATTTTTACTCCACTTCCCGTTTAATCAGAAATGACAATGTAATTTTAAATCAAAGATCCTGTATATTTTTAAAAGTTCTTATTTTCTCTATCTAAAAATGTAGTACAAATACCCAAACCCAGGGAATGCCATTCATTATTATTTTAAATCCAGCCTAATTCAGTTTGCTTTTCAAATTAATTTTATTTCAAGTTCAGTATTCAGTACCTTTCCTATCGACGTTCTACGTCCCGACGATCTATCTCCCGAACGCTTTCACGACCCGACGCTCAACATCCCTACCTTTCTACGTCCCGACGTTCTATCTACCCAACGCTTTCACGGACCGACGCTTAACGTCCCGCCGCACTACTTTCCGGCATTCTCCGTCCCGACGACCTATCTACCGAACGCTGTCACGTCCTGTCGATCAGCATCCTACCGCACTACTTCCCAACTCTTGCCACCCCGTAAACCTACCTTATTATTTTCTTAATTATACCCGTGACGACACCCTTCGTCGCGCAGCACCGCCTAAGAATTTCCTACCTTATATCCGTCCCTCTTCTAAAATTAGTACATACTGTCTAGTTTAGATTAATCTAATGTCTGTATTTTCGATGGCGAGTCGAAAAAGTTAATATAATAATAATAATAATAATAATAATAATAATAATATAATTTCGGATTTAAAGAAAAATTAAACGGGGTACGGTGTGGACTGTTACATTACTAATTATTTTTGTATCTTTTGGTTCATGTTTAAAATTAAATTGCTTTACTTTATATAAGTACGAAAAAAAAAACCTTACATAATGTTCCATTTTTATAAACGCATAAGAAGATATTTTTCGAATAAAAAATATACAAAGTGATCCATTTTAATCAGAAGTGAACGAAAAAAGACAGAAAAAACATAATAATTAGAAAAAGACGTAAAAATAACATATAGTATAGTCTAAAAGTTATAAATTCTTTATGTTTGAAAAGGGTAAACATGTAACGGGTACAATCGGACAGATAGACAGAAATAGACGAATCCGCCAATATATTATGCGCATGCGCAGTAAATAGATAATGCGGTGATTCACTTCGTTCCGCTTGTTCTAGGGCTAGGGCAGTGATCGGCAAACTCATTAGTCAATAAAGATAAATAACAACAGTAAAACGACTGAAATTTCTTTTGAGAGCCAAATTTTTCAAACTTAAACTATATAGGCAGGTACATTATTGTTAACTTAATTAGGCTACTCCCAAGGTGGTCTTTGCTAAAAACTTCCTCAATTTGATTAAGTTACGTTCGCTGGGGTCGACCCTTTCTAATTATCTCATCGACATTCGTCTTTAAAACTTGTTTTATCTTCTATCATTAATCCTCTTTATACAGAATAGGAAAAAATTATACGAGCCATAGGCTACAGGCCCTGCGAGTAAACATCTATTTCTATATTTTGTACACAACGAATACCACCTCTCCTCTGTGACCTGCGAGCGTGCGAGCTCATAGAAAGTTCCAATTTAGTAATGCATGTACTATCGTGGAGTATAATTCTCTTTACTTAAGTAAATACAATATTTACGTAATTATCTGATTCTAGAATAAGGAATTATATGCTAGTAAAATATAATAACCTAATTTTATATAAAATCTTAATATTTTTGACTCTTAAGTTTACCATCAATGAAAAAGGGCCAATAATAAAATACCAATGCAAACATTTAATTTCTGAGTATACTGTGCATGTCGGAATACTTAAATGTTTATTTTCCTGGACACAATGTCTCTGGATTGTTAGTTGTGCAATGAAAAAGTTGACTTGTTAGTAAATAACATGTATTTAAAAAAAAAAATTCATTTTGACTCTGCTGATTCGTCATAATTTCGCAAAAAAACAAAGTATAAACTTATGCTGTACTTATTGTAACAATTAACAAATATGTATGTTTATCTAGATGTTTATTATACATGTTTACAGATTTGATTACTATGCTCTCTGACGTTTTACGAATAATGGCATTTAATTTATAGAGATGGTCGTACCTAAACCGTATGGCTCGTATAATTTGTTCCAAACCTGTATATCCAAACCATCTCAGCATACCTTTCTCAATATTTGAAACTATATCTTCCTTCACTCCATAACGCTTTCTTAAAATTAACTTAATAAACTTTTAACTTAAAAGTTTTAAGTCTTAGTTAAATTATAGATGCATTGAATAAAATTTGCTGTCATACTTAATACCGATATTATTTATTGATAAAATTAAATTGTATTATATTTAAGAGTGTTGTTTTGAAATAGAAAATGTCAATATCACATTTTCAACAGGCTTGGAAAGCAATTTAAAATGGAACCTTGGAGAGAAGGCATAGCGCTTCGGATAGAGACAGATGAAAGTGCTAACTGCAGGGGGTGCGCGCTCAGCAGTAATATATTTTACGATACAAGTTGATATTTTATCTTTCTGGTAATGTTTTTTTAAGACGTCGCTTCAGAGTACTGGCCTAAAGATAAATACACATAAACACCAACTAGGTATAAAAAATAGAAATAAGAGAAGCTGCCATCACGAAGTTTCAATCGCACTGTATGTTAGAGCTCGCACGTTGTAGTTTGTGGAAAAGCCACACTCAAGGGGCCAAAGAGTCGTGGTTTGCCGACCTTTGGGCTAGGGGATCATTCTCTGCTTCGATGTCTAATTAATGGCGAATCTCGCAGCTTTTACTATTCATGTTGATCGGTAATAACGCGCAGTTAACTTATTTAACTTACTTGATGTCTATTGGCGCTGTCAAAGCTTGTGTAGAGATAGTCTGGTCTACCCACTGGTCCTAGTGTTGTCTCCGCACCTTGAAAAAATACGTCGATTTAATAAATTCTAATAACTATGTAGAACTAATAATAATTTTCATCATTATTTAATCATGAAGCAACATAAACATTTATATAAAAGTTTAAAAGAAAGGTAGTATATGGGGGTAGCGAGACCATAAACATTTATACAAAAGTAAAAAGGAATGGTCTTATATGGAAGGTAGAGACTATTGAGATACATTTAGGACTGGTTTACCCAAAGCTGGTTGCAGATAAGTGTGTACTATTTGGTAGATTAAAATCGTACCTATATATACTTAATAAAGTGGATGACTCTCGAGTCTCGGGATAGTTCTCTTCTGAAAACGAAAAGTTTTCTTTATTAGTTCCTGAATGTTTAAACAAAATTTACTAGTAGATCTTATTTGGGCTCTATGTATCTGCTCAGCTTTGGAAAGAACTAGGATTCGCATCTTCGGATTTAGCAAATTTTAAACAAGTTTCATCCAACTTAATCATGGCCTTTAACAAAAGGTATGTGGCATGTACGACGAACTATAACTTAGACATGAGTAACAATAGATCCCACACATTTCCAACCTAACCTAACGCTTTTGGACACGTTACAAACTAGCTTCATGCCCACTATTATAGTAGTCTGTGTTTGAGAGTAAATATAGAAATTTGTTTGATTAGAACTGTGGGTCGGGAGACCTCCCTCAACTTGACCGTTGTAGATCTATTATACATTAAAATGTACCTACAAGATAGTGCCTATGAAGACCTAAATAATTTAATAATAATAATAATTAATATTATGTTGTATTCCAGCTTAAAATTTTGTTGAAATCTATTCTCTTTAAGAAAACGTCAGAGTGGGAAAACAAGAGCTCAAATATTTAACTCCAAAAAACAATTGACTTTTAATTATTGATTTTCTATTGACTGGTCCTCGCTTTCTTAGGAAAATTATTTTTTATTATTTTATGCCGCCTTTTAAAGTTTCTTGACTTTTTAATTTTTCTCATATTATTTATTTTTATTTTTTTAGGGGTGATTTGAAAATGGTACGCAAATATCAAAGACAGACAGAGACGGAGTATGAGTCAGGCAATTTGATAGCCATTGCCACAAAACATGACATATCGTACGCTACATTGTACAGAAAAATAAAAGGCATCTATACTAAACCAGCTGGTGGTCACACGGCCCTTACAAATAATGAGGAAGAAACTCTGGTTAAATGTATTTCCATAGCAGCTGAGTGGGTATTTTCTTGTGATAGTGAAGAAATTAAAGATTTAGTGCCAATCTCGAAATAAGTGGTAAAATAATAAACAAGTTCAAAGAAAATAGCCAGTCGAAACTTGAATTGAAAAATTCTTGAAAAGACATAAAAACTCTGTTAGCAAGATTATCTCAATCAATAGAAAAAAGCAGGGCTAAAGTTAATCAAGACACTATCAACAAATTTTTCGAAAATCTTTCAGAGGTTTTAACAGGTGTACCCCCGTTTACCATTGTGAACTGTGATGAAACAAACTTTACTGACGATCCTGGGCGAATTAGAGTAATCGTTCAAAAAACATGTAAAAGGGCTGCAAAATTCATGGATACCTCGAAAGCAGCCACATTTGTGATGTTTGCATATTCGACGGCAGGACAATTACTTCCAGTTTATATAGTTTACAAGGCGGATCATTTGTGGTCCACTTGGACTGAAAATGGACCAGCAATTGATAGATATAATCGCAGCAAGTCTGGCTGGTTTGACGCTAATATTTTCGAAGAGTGGTTCACAAATATAATTCTTCCCTACTTCAGAAGTTTGCCACAAGGTCCGAAGGTTCTTGTAGGAGATAATTTAGCAAGCCATGTAACAATTGTGACAGGCTTCTGGTTCACCTACAGTGAATCAGCGAGTCTGTGTGGCGCTATGAAGGTGATTCCCGAATAGGGGTTGCTCAGGCACCAGTTTGGGTATCTCAGTTTGCTCTGCGACCCTGTGGTACACCAGAGTGTACTCAAGGTGAACTCAGTGGAGGTAAAAAATAATTCCAGGCGGTCACTGCTAGGTAGCCACTATACTAGAATAAATAAAAATAAAACACTTATCTCCTTTACACCTCGTACCCTACGGTACCCTGAAAGAGAACGGTTAAGAACCAGCAATAAGAGAAACACAGGAATAGGTAATAAAATATATATTTACAAAAAGATAAATACAACAGTAATTAAATATGAACGGCTCCCTATATTCGGAAAATTTATTAAAACTAAATTATTATAACTGAAAACTATTTAAATATTGACGGATCCCTATATCCAGAAAATTTATGAAAAATAAATTATTACAATTGAAAACAATTTAAATATTGAGAAATAATTACGGTTCGCAAGCACAGGAGGTCAAGCGGTCCAGGAATTATGGAACTCCCTATATACGGAAAATTTATTAAAAATAAATTAATACACTTGAAAACAATTTAAATATGACGGTAATCAAATGCAAGCAAATAAATGAAATCAAAGTTATCGGAACCCCCTCGTATCTTAACTACGAGCGATGGGAAGCGAAAATTTTCGTCTAGTGAGAAATATGGGTATTCACGCGGGGTTTTGGACGGCGGAGACGACGATCGTAGAAAATAATATTTTGAATTTTGCCCAGAGTCGATCGAGAGCGTGTGTGAATTTAATTTTACAGAAGTCGCCTGGCTTCATTCAATAACTAATTGTGGACGGGGAACGGAATGATTCAAATACACAGCTGAATAAATAAAAAAATAAAAGAAAATAAATTTACATGAAGTGAGGCGCGGAAATTTATTTAGACGTCTTTTTGGGAAATTAGATAACGTCTTCAGGAGAGAGATCACTCTAACCCGGAAACGGATCGAACCTTCGGAAAAGAAAATAAAATAATAAAAAAAATTGGAAACGGGTTGAACCTCTCACTTCAATGTTAACAGGCGGTTTCCAAGAGCCTCAAATAAAAAAATGCCAACGGTTTCCCACTGAGGGATGAAATGAAATATCTTGGATATTAATCAAAATTTATCATTCCCAACTAATTATATAAAAGTCGATAAAAAAATAATATACGGTTCCTACCTTAGAAGATAAACGGGGTTATTCAATAATCTTCGAAATCACGGCACTCATGGAGTATTTACTAGGCACTATAGAAGGGCGAATAGTGTTCGGCTGTCGGCAATCAAGAGGGTAGTAGAGCTTACGGCGGCCGGCAAGCAAGAGAGTGTTATTTAATTTATGCTTTTCGGTAAACCCGAGTGGGGATACCACTACTACAGCCAACTGTTTACAATTTAAAAATAAAAAAAAATGTCCTTCTAGTACCTTGACAAATAAAGGTAGATAATTCATACGAAATCGACTCTAAAAATGCCCATTCGGATTTCGGCAAATATAGAAATATTTTAACCTACGAGGGTACTCGCAATTGTTAAAAAACGGTAATTCCTGGGAAACAGAAATAAGGGGGAACTTCTACATGTCCTCAGGCGGGAATTAATTGAAATATACATTTTTAAATTAACTGAGAGCAAAATTTAGTGACTTCGTCACACAATGAATGTAATTGACAAATGCCAAGAGAATGATATCCGTTTCGTCCTACTCCCACCCAACAGCACATATATGACAAAACCGTTAGATGTCAGTGTATTTCGTCCCATCAAGAACGCATGGATACAAGTGGAAAAAGCATAATGCGGGGGTTGTTTTCAAGGTTTTGAAACAGGCATTAAATACAGTTGCCACAAATAATGAAACCAACATAAAGTCTGGATTAGTAGCTACAGGCATTCAACCCATCGATATAACAAAAATTTAAAAAAACAGCCCAGACAGAAGCGGACGGACGTCAACAAGTAGACGATATGACCAAATCCCTAACAATAATGTTTGCAAAAGCTTTAAAACTCCTGGTTCATCTGTAGACAGAAAAAAAAATTGAACATAGAAGCTGGAAAGAGCATCTCACGGGAAGATTTTTCTCCAATAAGTGAACCAACAACTTCAAATGTTCAAACTCCAAATGTTTCAACAACTATGAAAGTTAAACATTCTAAAAAACGAAGGAAGTCGATTGTTCATCGCGATTCTTCTTCTTCTTTTTCTTCAGATAGCGATAAAGAAATGGAAGTGATGACTATTGATACTTATAGCGATGTAGATCCAGAATTATTCTCTGATTTAAAAAATATTAACGAAACTGACAAAATTTCGTTAAATGTTTCTATAGACATTAAAACTTTACTCATGATTTGACTGCTGGTGACTTTATTTTTGTTCAAATGGCAACAGAAAATGGAACCACTAGAAAATATGTGGTCAAAATATTAATCCGTGAAAATCAAAGCACATTTTTTTGCCATTTTCTTAGGGAGAGTAAAGTAACAACAGAGGTTAAAGGAATCGTGAATGTGTCAGAAATAATCAAGAAGCTGACAGAACCGAAAGTTTTAAGACGGGGGCAGTTACCGTTTAAGAATATGTAGGGGTAGTTATATAAATATTTATTTATCTGTATTTTTCAAAGAATGTGTTTATTTTTGTTATTAAACATGACATTTTTGTTCCTTTTATGAGACTGTTTAGTTTATTTAATAAAAATTTGTGTTATTTTAAAACCAGCACGTTTTATTCCTTAATCCTTACTATGTGGTTATCGCATATACCTAATTTTAACTTTTTTTTTACTTTCAAAACGCCTCTGTTATTCGTTTTACTAGAATACAACTTGAAAAACAAGCAATTTTCCAGGCGCCTCGCCCGTGAGGCGTCTTGAAAATAAACCTATTAAATTTTTTTATTCCCTAAGGAGGGGTTAATTTAATAATCTATATATACCATCCGATTCAGCTCAGCCTAAAGTAACCTTAAAAAAATATAGTTCCATTCGAAAACATTTCATGTGTTGGGTATATTCTTTCAAAGATGAAAATGTTTATCAAGTACATGTTTAAGGTACATGATATATTTAAAAAACATCAACAAATTAATATATCAA